TGCCACAGTGTGGTGCTGTTGTGCTTTGGCTGAATATTGACAAAATCACCTGTTCCTGTTGCTATCAAATCTCTGTTTTATGCAGTAGAAAAAAATACTTTCAAAAATAGATGAAGATGCACTCTTATCAGATACTTTTTTAGTTGTACATAATCAGTTTTATGATTACTTTCCGTTGATTATGCTAGATTACTTTTTATGTTAATCAGTTTTTATTAGCATGCATATTTAAAATTTTTTCCTTGATTGCCTGATCATATTTAGTTAAAAATTAGAGGGCTTCTTAAAGGTTATGAAATTATAACTTGAAGAAACCAACAAACAAAATGACACCATAGATGACAGCAGGCATATCTTTTTAAATTTTTAGGCTTTTGGATATTAATCTGTTAAAACTGTACTTTCACTCAAAATATATAATGCTCTCTTCCAAATCCAAGCTAGCCATTACTCTCGTTGTTGTTTGTACAATTTGTACTACAATCCGTTCAAGAGGAGACTAGATTTACATGGATCTTGTGCTTCCAGGAGTTAAAATCTCTAATTTACTTTTGTCACTTTTGTAAGCTACACTACTTTCTTTAATGTGTTTTTTAAGGTGTAATTTGCCAAGCCAGTATGGACTAGTCATGCATTTTAACTGAAGAGTTTTTATGAAGGTGCTTCCAGTTAATAAAGTGTTTGGTAATATGCATCAGATTACCAAAGGGTGTCACAGCGGCGACGGTTGTCAGGGCGGCGAAGACAGTAGCCAAACACAACTCTTACAGAGAAGTGGGGCCAGGAGGGTCACTCTGAGGAGTCGACCCCGGCTCCAGTCTCAGGAGTTTATTTATAGTCAATACAGCAAGCAGTGAAGCAAATAACAGAACAATGGGCTTTGGGTGAGTAACAAGTTTCAGGCAAGGGAGAAGGAATTCAGGTAAACAAGCCAATTAGTAACAGGACAGTAGGTTTGGGAAAACAAGTCGTGCTTAATCTCTTTCTCATCGCTGACAAGTCTCCAGCATGTCCTATACAGCATAGAGGCCTGTGGGGGCTGCAGTTGTCAATAGTGCAGCCATGTTTAAATGGCATATATCCCCACAAAAGGGGTTTGTGGCCCAAAAAGGTTAAGAGTCCTCTGTCTTAGGGCTCCTAAGATAACAGTTTAATATTTCATTTCTATTACATGAAATGATTTTGTAGGTTTACTGGTCTACTTTTAGGAAATAATGGTCTTAACATTAATATGATACAAATAATAAACATCAATTCATTTCTAATGTGGATTAGAATAGAGGGCTAAGGAGTAGAAGAGTTAAATGAGTCTGATGAACTGAAAGTGGATGAGGAAGTTTGTCTTGATCTAAAGGACCACAAGAGGAGACCATTTTGGGTATTTTGAAGTGAGGGTAATAGGGGAATTATAAACCATTTTGTGGGAGAACTGACTTTTAATGTTTAGTATTTTCAATCTTTGAGATACCTATAGGAAGGATACTATAAACTCCCTCTAAAGATAGGGACCTTGTCTGTTTTGCTCATCCTTATATTCTGGGCATGTAGCACTTGTAAATTTTTAGAATGAATGATCATAATGGGAGTGCTAATTACCTGTTGTGTTTTCGTGGAATAAGTTAGTGATTAAATGCTAGTAAAGCATTAAGTAGGGGAAGTTGACATCTTTTTTCCAGACAGCTTCTCCCCATAATAAATGCCCACCGAGAATGTGGCATCAATAAGAGTTGTAGGAGCCTCTGGGTGGTGCAACTGGTCAACCACTCGACTGCTTGCCTAAAGGTTGGCGGTTCAAACCCACCCAGAGGCACCTCAGAAGACAGCCCTGGCAATCTGCTTCTGAAAGGTCACAGCCTTGAAAATCCTGTGGACCACAGTTCTACTCTGACACATGGGTTCTTCATAAGTGAGAATTAACAGCAACTAGCAACAACAAAGTAGTCACTCTACTAATACGAGTTGAATAAATAATTGGTATCAACTTTAAGAGTTGTAGTCAACCATTGGGGAATGTCACATTTTGGAATTGGGTATTTTAGAAATGGGAGTTCAAGTTTAGACAAACATAATTGTAATATTTTAGAAAATACAGTAAGAGTAACACCTTGTATCTTCATTTGTACTTTAGCCTTCTGAGAATCACATCCCTTGAGTTCTGACTATCTTCAACTTTTTCTGAGGTTGTTAGAGCTCAGTTTTCTCATTTGTAAATGAGGGCATTCAATTACAATCTCAAAGGCAAACTAAAATACTGTGACTAAATCCCTGAAGATGGAAGGATGCTGCTGACTAATTTTTCTATCTTCTAAAACCATCCTGTCTGATATGGTAGCCACTAGCCACTGGTGGTGCAGTGGTTAAAGAGCTACGACTGCTAACCAGAAGGTCTGTGGTTCAAATCCATCAGCTGCTCCTTGGAAACCCTATGAGGCAGTTCTAGTCTGGCCTATGGGTTGCTATGAGTTGGACTCGACTCTATGGCAACGGACAGCCACATGTGGCTATGCAAATACAAATTTAAAGTAATTAAATTTAAATAAAATTAAAATTTCATTTCCTCAGTTACACTAACCACATTTCAAGTGCTCTGTTGCCAGATGTGGCTAGTGCCTACCATACTGGACAGAGCAGATACAGAACATTCCTCTCATAGAAGGTTTTGTTGGACAGCACTGCTCCAGAAAATCTAAAATAGTAACTTGTATATAGCATGCCCTCAAAAAATATTTGATGATTTTAATTGAATTTGTTCATCCCATAAGAAAAACATAACAATTGAAAGTAAAGTATCTGAATCCACAAATGTCTATCAGTGTCAGTTTATGACCTGTTTTTCAAATTGCAAAATTGAAAATTCATTTTGTACTTCATTATAGAAATACAGATGTTTGGTAAATTGTGTGAAATGTTTCTGTCATAGGTAGGAACGGTTTATTCTTTGTTTTTGGAGGTGAGGAGAGGGAAGTGTTATATGTAGAGGGAATGTAGTAGGAAAGCAGCACAGTTCCCTCAGCCTACTTGGCTATAGAAGAGACCCTCTCTCTCCGTTTATTATAATGGAGTTAGCAAAACTATTAGGAATTCCTAATAGAGTTCCTTGGGGCAGGGGCAGTTGTGAAAACTGTGCCATTCACATCAGACATTTACATTTAAAGAGTTTAATTGATAAACACCAAATTCTTAAATGAAAAATAAGTGCTTCTTGCTGTTTTTAGTAGTCAGATAACTTTACTGTAAATTTAAAATGTTTAAAAGTAAGACATTGACTGTATTTTATGTTTAAAGTTTCTTTAGAATTCTAACCTCTTTAAAGAATATAATTGAGAATTCTAATTCATTAGTTTCTTAGCAAAGACAGATTTAGAGGGGTTTTTTGTACTTACTTTGTAACTGTGAGTTGACTTTTAAAATGTAAGTCGGTGTTAGGGTTTGTTTGGTGCAAACAAATTCTTTTTTAAAAAAATGTTTAATAAAATACTCTTTTTAGAAAAGGTGGTTTAATAAAATGCTTTATCACTTCCAAAATATTGTTATTTCCATAAAAATGCTGTGAGAACTCCTGACAAAAAATTGGGTGCTGCAGTTAAAACATTTATATGGTTTATATCTTACATTTTATTGCAGAATTTATTCTGTTTATTATAGAAAAGTACTCTGTAGAGAAGTGTTCTGGCCCACTGAAAAATAAGACAGACTAGAGAAAAGCTTTGACATACTAGAAAAAATAGGTATTATGCTCTTACATATATTTGGTTTTCCCAGAGAAGGTTGTTAAAATATCTTTTTTAATGTTTTCACCTGTCTTATTAGTCTAATACGTTCATTATTTTGAGGTCTAACTAGTCTCAAACGTAGTGAATGCATTCATCTTTGTGAAACAAAACTTTTTACTAACAAAGAAAATGTTTGATTCTCTTTGTTGCCTCTATTGTTTGTTAAAATTGAGCCAGCTCCTAAGAATGTGACCCTGAGAGGACTCCCAAGGTTACCTACTCTCCATGGTGGTGGTTCTTGTCACAACGAAGGGATCCTTTATTCTGTAACACACGGCTCCCAGTGCATAGCATTGTAGAGGCTGGTTACTTGTTGGATTCCCTGAGCTAGGAACATTGTCTGGCTGTCCTCCTGAATTACCTCTACCATCTGGTATGGCACTGTTACTTAGGCAGTCAGTAAATATTTGTTGGATTAAAGAATGGATACCGAGATAGTTTTTATATCATTTAAGTAGAACTTAAAAGTTAAGCCACCATTTTAGGAAGGTCAGACATTTGTCATTTATTTTTAGAATGCTCTGGGATATTTTGTTGACCAGTGGCACTAAAGGAGATGCTTCAGATAAAAAAAAATGAAATTATTTCACAGTGACATCCCAGAAAAGAGTTAAGAATTAAAATATGCAGTTTTTATGTGGAAAAGTCATGTCAGAAAACATTGAAAAACAGTTAATTTGAAAGAAGTGAGCATATATTACTTTTCCAAACACAGCGGTAACTTAGAATAGAAGAATGACCTTCAGTTTTCTGCTACTCTCCCTTCCCCAAATTACAATAAAGGCATTGTTCCTTTTTTTTTCCTCTGTTATATATTAATGTAAACATTTAAACTCCAAAATAGTATAACTGTATTCAGTGTTTGCTGTGGGTTTCTGGTAAATATTCTACCATCCATAGAAAATTGTCTCCTACTTACTAGAATTTATAACAGGTATGGCTGCTAAATATCACATTTGTTAACAAAAAGATGTGGTTTTTCTCCTTAATTAAATTTAATTTAATCAATTTAACTTCACTAATTAATATTAAACCACATTTCTCTCTCTGAACTGAATCCCCGTTGTCGTGGTATGTTACTCTTAATTTCTACTTTGATTTGTTGATATTTTATGTAGCTTATTGTGACTGTATAAAAAAAATAAAATTGACCTATAGTTTTTTGTGCTGTGTTTAACAGTTTTGGTAATAAAACAGCAATTATTCTGTTATTTTCTCAATTGACAGGTCGTGGTTCAATTTCAGAATTCTTTCATATTATGAAGAGAAAGTTTACCAAGAAAGAGTGGGAAACAATCCGAAGCTTTAAGGACGAATGGATTCAGCTGGATATGTTTTATAGGAATTGGGTATAGTTTCTTCCTAATTTGAGAATAGAAGTCCATAATGATTCTAAAACCTTTGAGCAAAAGTGCTTTGGTTGCCCAGTAGTTCATATAGTGATTGAAATAAGTGGGTCATTATTTGGAAACTTCATGATTTTTGTGTATACTGTATTACATTATAATCATATTTTAAGAAAACTTAGTCTATATACTTAATGCTCAATTAGAAGGTACTTATCATTAAAGCTAAAACAAGGCATTATATTTGTCACCATTTATAAATATCACTTTTTCTCTTAAAGGAACTCATACACTTGAAGGCTTACTTAACACAGATTTAGGTAGCATTTACTAGGTGCCAGAAGACGTTAAGTACTTCATAAATTAGATAATTCTCACAACCAACCTATGAGTAAGGTAGTAGTATTATCCCATTTTACAGATAAGGGAATGGAGGCACAGAGAGCTTAAATGATTTGCCAAAGCTGGTTTGTCTCCATGCTCCTAAATGTTTAAAAAAAAAAGCTTGTAGCTGTTATGTAGTGTAGTATAAAAATCCAGATGTGTTGGGGCCTGCAGATTTTATGAAAAGTTTATCTACTAAATGCTCTAAAAGAAAACATGTCTCTTTGTATCTTAGGCACTGAAAGAAAGCTTTATAAAAGCCATTGGTGTTGGACTAGGATTTGAATTACAACGACTTGAATTTGATATATCCCCATTAAACCTGGATATAGGCCAAGTTTATAAAGAAACTCGTTTATTCCTGGATGGGGAGGAAGAAAAAGAATGGATATTTGAGGTAAGAAATGTATCAAAATGGCTATAACCATGAGAATTTCCATATCTTTATTGTGTATGCAGTATATATATGTAAGGATAGACACAGTAGTTCCTGGGTGCTGCAGATGGTTACTGCACTTGGCTGCCATCTGAAAGACTGGAGGTTTGAATGCATCCAGAGGTGACTTGAAAGAAAGGCCTTGGCGATCTACTTCTGAAAAAATCAGCCATTAAAAACCCTGTGGAGCACAGTTCTTCTCTGACACACATGGGGTCACTGTGAGTCAGAATCAACTTGATGGCCACTGGTACTGATAGGCTAAATACAACTGGAATCCATTCCTGGTGTTGTGAAGGTAAAGTCAGGGATACTGTGAAAGCATATAATATTTAAGCTGATACTTGATGGATGAGTCATAGCGAGTTAAGTAAAAGTAGAAGAGAAAAGGGGCCTAGGCATAGAGAGCAGCTCAGTAAAAACCCTGAAATGGATATAGCTTTGTGTGTATGAAGAGCCAAAGGAGGCCGCTTTGACTGGACCCTGACGGTGAGATTTGATAGAGATTCCATATTAGGCTGGTAAAATCACGAAGGGCATTTTTGGTAGGATTAAAGATTTTAGTTTCTTTCTATATTTGGTTTCTGTCACTAATGATTCTGGTTTATTAGAGTAATCCAACACAAACTCATTAAGCCAAAAAAATTAATAGGCTACTGCAGCAGTTCATATAATTAGGTCTCAGAATTACCTAGAATTGGGGACTGGAATATTCAGAACTTTTTTTTTTAATCTCTTGCCTTTCTGTGTGTCTTGCCTTTAGTTTTCTCCCATCCTTGTTTCTCCTTCTACACACCAGCTTTCTCAACTTCTCTGGTCAATGTGGCAGGAAACGTGACTGCCTACTACTCTTGCACATAACAGTAGTTTAAACACTCAGAGATATTGGTGAACTTCCTTTCTGTTTCAATCCCAAAAACTCTGGATAAGGGACTCACTGGCGTTTGTGGGTCAGAGGCTTATCTCCAGACCAGTTTTGCAGCTAAAGGAGTGGTCTGCTATGATTGGCTCAGCTTGTGTCAGGTGTCCAGAGCCCAATGAATGGGTTACATTATAACATGGTTGGTCTTTCTGTAATTCTGTAGTATGGAGGGAAAGTCAGTTCCCTGAGGAAGGAATTAGTGATGAGTGGGTAAAATAGGAGAGTTCGCTAATTTTAATCAAGAGGACTTAACAGGTGTTAGGTAGGAAGTAATAAGATCAGATATGCATTTTTAGAAAACCACCTACTCTGTTTCATATGATGGTATGTAGAGATTAAGGGAGTGAGATGCCAGGGCAGTTATGAGCTGTGATTTATAGGGCCATCTATTGAGATACAGAATACTGGAGAACAAATGGGTTGTTAAGTTTGAGATGCCATAGAAAAACCCAAGTGAAGATGTCAAGTAATCAAATAGAATAGAGGGCTGGACTGGAGAGGAGAAAATCATTAGCATGTGAATAATAGTTGAAGCTATGGAATTTGAAGTTGAAGCTATCAGATTACCTAAGGAGAGTTCTGAGTTAAAGCTATCAGATTGCCTATGAAAAGTGTGGAAAATGAGAAGAGAGAAGGGCCTAGGACAGAGCCCTTAAAAGTGTAGAGGAGGAGGAGGAGACTGAAAAAGAATGGCCAACGTGGTAAGAAGTAAAACAAGAGAGTGGCATCAGGAAATCCAAGGGAAGAATGTATTTTGAGAAAGAAAGCTGTGTCAGTAGGTAGCTGCTAAGATACCAAGTAAGATAAGGATTCTACCAGTTAGAGAGTAGATTATGTGTAGGACACTATGTTTTAAAAGATAGTACAACTTAAAAAATTACAGTCAAAATTGTTAAAGACTGTTTCGATACTTAAAGGAAGAAACCTCACCCATATGAAAATTTACTTATGTGGAATCTTTTTTCTTAATGGTGCCAAATAAGTTTTTATGACACATACTAACATTTACCTTTAGCTGTTGCATTCAGTAGGAATTCAGCTGTATGTTCATTGCATCATTATTTATAACTTGGTGGGGGGGAGGTCACCTAACATGAAAGCCGTGAAGCAGACTAGGTGAGCCCATTACTGTAGGCTTAAAGATGATTGTTAATAATAATTTGCTTCCATATGGAAAAAGCTGCTTATATCATATCCATTGGATAATGCTTATGTTCTACCTGATGTTCAGTGAAAAAAGAATTTTTAAAGCTGGAAAACAAACAACAGAAGCTTGGTTGGAAACATACTCAATGGTGGATGGTGAGCAGTGGTAGAAGGTACTTAAGATGTTGAACAGTAGGGTTAGAATCTTTACACCACCTTTTTGACTTTGGCAAGTATTACTTAACATAGCTTTTTTTTTTTTAAACCACATTCTCCTGTTAAATTAATTAATTAAATCTTTTGAGAGAGATTTGATAAAAATTTTATTTAAAATTTACTTGAAGGCAAAGTCCTTTGAATTTTTTTCTGATAATAAGTACTTATTTTTGATACTCTTTACAATTTTTAGGAGATGAAGATTTTATAAAGTATATTACTTATTTTAAAGTAATTTATTTATATTTTTTTCTAGGTTAACCCAATAAAGTTTTTGTTATTTTTGTTTAAAAGTTAACTGAATTGGTATTAGGTTGAAATTTTTGTTTTTCTGGGTTTAATTCAGAGTATTTGAGTCTTTTAGGGAGCCAGCAACCATTACGCAAACAACCATTTACATTGTGTTTATTTAAAGAATGTCACACTAATATAGATTGTCTTAAAAAAGTGAATGTTAATTTTGAATGGAATTTCTCCTTTTGCTATAAAGAGAAGTGCTAGACACATCCATGCAGTACTTACTGGAATAGAAAAACTGGCCCAGTGACCCACTCAAGCCAGCAAGCCAGCCTATATAAGAAAAGTGTGTTCACGTAGGAGTAAAGGGGTGGTCTTGCTAACACTAGGAAACACTAGGAATCCTATATTTGTGTGTTCTCTGAAGTAGAGTCAGGTTTGTAGGAAAACTTGACTGGTGTTCTCAGAAGTTTAGAGGTATGTGTGAAGATAGACTAGTGCTTGTTTTTCAACTGGACAAGTTTGACGGCAGGATCCTGGTTGGAGTGACTGTAGTAAGGAGGGAAGAGTCAGCAGTTGGGCCAGCTACATTTCATCTTTTGGGGGGCAAAGATGTCTGAGTTGCTATGGGCCAAGTATGTGCTGTGGAACATGGTAGCTCGAAGTGTCTTAAAAGGATCTCAGCCAAGAGGACCCCCAAAAGAAAGAATGGGGCATTCTATTATGTATTAGTTGCTGAAGACGAGAATTATAAGTCAGCTGTAAAATGCACTCCTAGCTCAAAGGGAATGGCGCAGGGCTGAGGAACGGGAAGTGGTTCTCTGAAAATTCCAGATGCACCCCATGAAATATTGCCACCATTCGGACATTTGATATAACGCAGGGCTCCACAAACTGGATTTCAACAACACTCATCATTGCTTTGCCCCTTTCTTCCAATCCCCCTTCCTCTCTGCCTCCCACCCCCACCCTAGAGAAAGCATAGTGGAAGAGGAGGAGTGGAAGAACAAGGTGAGGCCAAGGGAAAGAATACAGATTTGTTCTAAGGTTGAAATAGGATTGTTACTGCTGAAAGTGACTGACGAGCTATGGGCTCTGCCTAAGGCCTTGTCCAGGAGCTGGAAAGGGCATATTTGAAGGCAACCATTGGATAATAAGTTCTTTTCTGAATACACCTTAGTGTTACCCCTCAGTGTGCTAGTTGTAAAAATATAAGTAATTACTTTTACAAAATGTATACCAGGAGAAAGTGAACCTAGCAGAGTGAGCATGGTGGTATGGACAGCCAGAAACCAAGGGCTGACAGGAGAGTGAAAAGCATAAGACAGATGAGCATCCCTGGAATTAAGGAACTACACAAAGGAGGTCTGTGTCAGGGCATATCCGAAGTGCCCCACAAGTTAAAGAACCAACCTTTAGGCATGTAACTGAGAAAGAGGTACAGTTTCAGTGTACAGCTGTGGCAGTCAAGAGTGATCTTTTTTGCCCTTTGCTTTTCCCCCACCCCTTTTCCACTTTCACACACTAAAATTTCCCATCCTATTAGAAATAGAGACAGCATAGTGAATGGGGGAGGTTGTGGAGTTAGGATACTCCCTTTCCTTAATGGATGTTTCCAACCCTGAGTTAGGTTTCAGCTAGGTTAGGTGGGAAGAAGATGCTCTGTGTCAGATGAGATAAAAATTATAATTGGATCAGACGGGACAAAACATCTCAATTCAGAGAAAATTTAGTACTTGAGAGTGACCAGAAGTGTCATGTAGAAGATCTGATCAGAATTTTATCCAGGGCAAGGGAAAGATGAGTTGTCAGCTCTTGTTTAAAGGGAAATGGTGAGAGAGAATGAAGTTGCCTTCTGTTCTACTCTGTGGAGTCTTGCTCATTTAGTAAGCTGAAAACAAAGTAGGAAGAGAGTTCAGCTTCTCCCTTCTTTTATGCCTAAATGAATGATCTGCATAGGACAACTTGGCAGCATTCTGCTACCCTCCCCTTTTCCTATTGTTTAGATACTACTTCCTGAAACAACCGATCCTATCCACATACCCTTTCCCATTAGCCCCATGCCTAGGTTTTTTTCCATATCTCTTCAGAAACTAAATTTAAGTATACAGATCATTAAAGAAAAGTACTGTTGCCTGGGTTGGAAACAGAAAAAATTCCTAGCAAGAAGTACATGTTAGGGACTATAGTTTGTATTAATTAATGTAAGTAGTCAACAAAAACTGAACTGCCTCAAACTCTGATGCATTCTCCTTTTTATAGTGTGAGATCTGAAGAGTAAGCTGAAAAAAAAAAGTCTCATTCTGGCAGGCAACATTAAAAGAATGCCTGCAAGGAGCCAGAAACAGGGTTGAGGCTGCATATAACAACCAACTCCTGGTGTGGATCTGGGAAGGAATATCTACTAGCACCAAGTGAATGATGCAGAAGGCTAAGTATACTATCCTCATTCCAGCAAAAACAGAGGACAGTGTCATCATAGGACATATGGTAAAATTCTGCATCCCAAAAGAAGAAAGGGCACTTACTTCCTTTAAGATTCAAAAGAAGAATATGAATGTAAAAATTAAAAAGAAAGGAAGATTAAAAAAAATAAAACAGTCTCCTTGGTATCTTTGATTAACATGTAAGATGAGGTAGTATCTGTGAAGAGGAAGCTGAGAGCCTTAAGAAGAAAACAGGACCGTCATTAAAAGAGAGCTATTAGTGGAAGGTAAATAGTCTCTGAGGTCATCAAGAATAGTGTATAGAAAAGAGGACAAAGGACTAAATCCTGGAACAGATACCTTTAAGAAGTACACTTCACTGTTGTTGTTGTTATATACTGTCGAGTCAGTTCGGACTCGTAGCGGCCCTGTGTACAACAGAGCCTGTTGTTGCAGCCACTGTGTCAGTCCATTTTGTTGAGGGTCTTCCTCTTTTTCACTGACCCTCTACTTTACCAAGCATGAAGTCCTTCAGGGACTGGTCCCTCCTGATCACACGGCCAAAGTAAGTGAGGTGAAGTCTTGCCATCCTTGCTTTTAAGGAGCGTTCTGGCTGTTCTTCCAAGACAGATTTATTTGTTCTTCTGGCAGTCCATGGTATATTCAGTATTCTTTGCCAACACTGTAATTCAAAGGTATCAATTCTTCAGTCTTTCTTACTTATTGTCCAGCTTCTGTATGCATGTGAGGCAATTGAAAATACCATGGCTTGGGTCAGGTGCACCTTAGTCCTCAAAGTGATATCTTAGGTTTTTAACACTTTAAAAAGGTCTTTTCGTGGCAGATTTTCCCAATGCAGTACATTGTTTGATTTCTTGACTGCTGCATCCATGGGCGTTGATTGTGGATCCAAGTCAAATGAAATCCTGGACAGCTTCAGTCTTTTCTCCGTTTCTGACGTTGCTTATTGGTCCAGTTGTGAGGATTTTTGTTTTCTTCATGTTGAGGTGTAATCCGTACTGAAGGCTGTATCCGTTGTGAAGGCTATATCCACACTTCATTGCTACCTTCTAAATGTAGACAGTTTCCAAAGCATCTTTCTTTACCCCTTCTCATGGATACGCTTTCAATATTAGCAGCCTCAAGCACTCCACCTTTCTGTGTATTGCTACCAAATCTTCTTAACTCGATTTCTTCCACTCTTCAGACTCCTGTTTCTCACTGTTATATGTTTCTATCTGAAAATTCCACAGATAACTCAAGTTCTGCAGATAGGTCAAAATCGTAATTGCCTTTCAAGTTATTTTCTCTTTCTAACTTCACTTTTCTTTTAATGATATCGCCATCTAGTCATCCAAGGTGAAAAGCCCAGCACATTTTTGTTTCCTCCTCCTCTCACCTTGCCCCTCCTCTCTTGTCATACAGTCTGGCTAATGTGACATGCTGCCCTTGAAAAACTCATCTGGCCTCTGGCATTTCTGTAGTATGGACCCCCCTTATATCTAACTTTGGACTATTGCGTTAGCATCCTAACTGGCCTCCTATTCCATTATATTACTCCAGCCTTCTTCAGTTTTTAGCTGTCATTTCCCTATGAATTCTCCACATTGCAGCCTAATTGCAACCTGCTCTTCCTTGAAAATCCCCAACCCTTTTCTATTTACATTCACTTGTGCTAATTGTTCCATGACTCCCCCAGTCTCCTTCCTGCCTGCTCTAACAATTTAAGCTCAACTCCAATGCCTTATCTGTATTTCCTCTGAGACCATCCTTTTTCTTATGACGTACCATATTTTGCCTCCTGTTTTCTGTATTTGTTTTACTTCCCCAGTGTTCCATTAGGGAAGGGGTTGTATCTCTTACAGACCTCTAACACACTAGCTTGGACATAATCAAGAATGCATTATTTATTACAACAAATCCAAAGGATTTTCCACTTACATGAATATTGGTTGTCACACCCAAAAAAATAATACATTAGATAAAGATATGAACTCTTAGACCAAGTGAGAAATCTCATTTTCACAGGCTCTCAATTTTCAAAACCAGTTTTTTGTTAGGAAACATTACCACCAAAAAGTTTCAGATGATGCTGTTAGATGAAATAGAAAGTCTTTGCTTTGCTTTTCAAAGGAAAGGGCTTAAATACTAAGAATTGTTAAAATTTATGAATTAGAAATACCAAAATTTAATGACAGATACACTTTTCAGTGGAATCTTGGTGTAGTGATTAAGAGCTACAGCTGCTAACCAAAAGGTCAGCAGTTTGAATACACCCACCAGCTGCTCCTTGGAAACTCGGTGGTACAGTTTAACTATGTTGCAATACCAGCACTGGAAAAAATAGTAAAATTTGAGTGTTACAGCTTAAACTTTGCTTTGATCCCTAAACATTATTCTTTCAGCGATCTGGTAACTATTTTACTTTCTTTAAAAAATGGAATATGCTGTACTGAAATAACATGCAATTCTACTGAAGCAGATTAATCTTAATGTTGAACTATCTCCTGAAAGATAAAATATCCTTGTTCTTTCTGAGTTTAGCGAAGACTATAGAGAAATTTTTGTACGTACAATGTTTTTATGTATAAAAAATTGCAAGCTTAGAAAAGTCTTCAAAACATGAACCTAAAGGCTTAAAACATAGTCGTAAGTTGAGTAGCGTTGAACGAGCTAGCTAACTAGATAGCGAGCTTGCTTGTTTCATCGCTTTTTAACTACTGTTTATTGTAGGCTCCATCGTAGGCAAAAAGGATTCATGACAAAGTCCCTGACCTCTTACAATTTTCATTCTAGTGGAACATTGGATATTAATAGTTAACATTGTCAAAATGCAGTACATAATTCAAATGCAGTAAAGTACATGGCACAGTTTGATAACTGAGTCATTGTAAAATAGTACTAGTTTTGTTATGGTAAATTTCACATTTACATGATGCTGATAAGGTCTTTGTAAATATGATGAAGCTTTATTTTGAAGTCAGTTTCATTGAAGCTGGGCCTGTGGCAAGATTAGTGGATAAATTGAAGGCATGTTGGCATTTTAGCTGATAGGCTGAATGAAAACTGGTTATTGCCCACAGTTATCTCTGATAATCACCTCAGATATAAACACTAAAGAACTGCTAATTCCAGTGGTTTTCCAAAAGTAATAGTAGCCAAAATATCTCTGTATGTTTTAATGTTCTTAGTATCTTCAGTGTAAGGAATGGGAGGAAGACCGTTCCTTATTCTTGCATACTACTGATTTTGTACTGAAGCAAGTAATTTTATTTATAATAATAAATATTTTGTTTTTAGTTCAAGGAAAAATATTTTTCTTTGTTTTGAGGTATGGTAATAAGTGACAGTCATTAGTATCATTCTTGTAGACACACTCAAAACACTATATTCATTAACAACATTCTTTACTGTTCAGCTGGCAGTCATACATTATCATACACATAATTATATGTGAATTTTGATTTTTATTTTCTATACATATAATAAGAACTATGCACTACCCTGCCAAATTTTTGAAAAGTTGTCTTTTTAACCTATGCATTGAAATTACTTTGTTTTCATTCCTAATCTTTTTTTTTTTTTCCTCTCTTTAAACATTGTCTTTAACTTACTGAATTGCTTTTTTTGCTGCTTTGGGTAGCTTAGGATATGGTGGTGTAAAGAAGAGGATAAAGGATGAAAGGTCCCTAAGTAACACTATTTCTGACTGTAGTTTTCTTTTTAAACTGGTTTCTTTTGGAAGAATGCCTGAGTGAAATGGCTTTTGCCTCATTATCTGTTACATTTTAGAGCCACTTTTCTCTTTGTATCATACATAGGAGAAGGTCTCTATGAGTTGGAATCGACTCGACGGCAATGAGTTTTTTTTGGTTTAAGTCTTACTATAAATTTCTGCTGTGATTTTTCCATAGGCCAGAGTAGGTGGCTGACTAAATCAATCTGATTTTTTAAAATGTATACTTTAAGAATAAGCGTATGCAAGATTAGCATCACCACTTACAGTAGGTGGACATCATGTGCCTCTAGGTGGGATACGTCACCTATGTATTATTCCTATTGAGAATGCTTAATCTAAATCTAATCATTAAGAAACTCAGGCAAACAAAAAATGAGCAGCATTCTATTTTTTAAAAGAAGTGTGGCTTGTATTTAAAAATGTTAATGTCATAAAGGACAAAATCTATGGTAAAGTTTCCAGATTAGAGGCTAAGGTGTTGGTGTTGGTGAAGAATATTGAATATATCCTATACTGCCAGAAGAACAAACAAATCTGTCTTGGAAGACGTACAGCCACAGTGCTTCTTAGAAGCAAATATGGTGAGACTTCATTTCACTTGATGTGTGATAAGGAGGGACCAGTCCCTGGAGAAGAACATCATGGCTTGGTAAAGTAGAAGGTCAGCAAAAAAGAGGAAAACCCTCAATGAGATGGATTGACACAGCGGCTGCAATAGTGGGCTCAGTCATAGCAATGATTGTGATGATGGCGCAGGACTGGGCAATGTTTCGTTCTGTTGTACATGGGGTCAGTATGAGTTGAAACCAACTTGATGGCACCGAACGACAACAACAACAGTAATGAAACATGACAACCAAATACTTAACCGTAGACGAGCTCCTGTACTAGAAGGGGGAAATAGCATAAAGGACATTATTAATTAACAAAATTTGGAATACAGGTAGTAGATTGAAATATTAATGTTGAATTTACTGAATTTGACGATTAGTTATATAGTAGTTATATAAGGGAATATGGCTAATAGGAAATACATGTTAAACTATTTAGGAGTAAAGGACCAGGATGTAAGTGACTTATTGTTAAGTGGTTTGATAGATAGGGCAATATGTATATGTGCGTGTAAGTATGTATATATGCATGTGTAGCAATCTGTACATATATAGAGATTGAGATTTAAAAAATGGAAACAAAAGCATATCTAGTCTCACATATTTAGTCATCTGTATTTACTTACTTTTTTTTTCCCCCAGGAAAGCAAAATAGATGAACACCATTTTGTTGCAGTAGCTCTTAGGAAACCCGATGGATCTAAACATCAGGATGTAAGATTTTAGGATTTCTCTTACTCTTTTTTTCTAAAAAGCATGATCATCAGTGTTTATTTTGTTCTCTATTGATAGAAATAATCATTTGGTTTATATCAGCCTGGAATTATTTTTTCTGTCTTTTTTTTAATAAGATTATAGATGTAAAAATGTTTTTTCACTATCAAATCCTAAAGATCGTCTGGGGTTGCTCAGAAACTAAGAAAACATGTCACTTATTTCTTCACATTCAAGTACACATAAGTATTACAAAGAAAAAATATTGATAGTATTGTCATAGTAATCATATTTTCATTAGTAATTCAAGATAGTCACTATCTGTCTTAGTCATTTAATGCTGCTGATAACAGAAATACCACAAGTCGATAGCTTCAACAAAGAGGAATTTATTCCCTCACAGTCTAGTAGGTTACAAGTCCAAATTCAAGACATCAGCTCCAGGGGAAGGCTTTCTGTGTTGGCTCTGGAGGAAGGTCCGTGTCATCAGTCTTTCCTTGTTCTGGGAGCATCTCAGTGCAGAAAACTCAGATCCAAAGGACGCACTCTACTCCCAGCACTGCTTTCTTGGTGGTATGAGGTCCCAGTGTCTCTCTGCTCGTTTCTCTCTTTTATATCTCAAGAGAGATTGGCTTAAGACACTATCTAATCTTGTAGACCTCATCAATATAACTGCTGTTAATCCATCTTACTACATCATAGTGATAGAGTTTACAACACAAGGAAATCACATCAGATGATAAAATGGTAGACAATCATACAATACTGGGAATCATGACCTAGCCAAGTTGACAGATATTTTTGGGGGACACAATTCAATCCGTGACGCTATCTTAGTCATCATAACACCGATTTATTTCTTGGTTAGTTGAAGCTGTGTTGAATGTTAAGGGTACGAAGTTGAAAGTTGGTGAACAATGGAATTGTCTTGCAAGTTGAGTCCCCTCCCCTTTTAAAATTATCTCCTAAATTATTCCTGAAGCTGTAGTATTAAACATATTAGAGATTGTGTGTCATGTTGTGGTGTTACATCGGTCTCAATTGCCCTAATCGCAATCTCCTTTATATACTTTCTTCTTCCAGTATTGGTAAGGGGGTGGAGGGTTTAGGGTCAAGGACTCTCAGCCTAGATATAGTTGTGATTCTGCAGAAATGTTTATTTAAGGAATACTGATGTGTTCAAATAACTGAAACTATATGCAGGCCCATAAGAGAATGGCTTGATGAATATGCATGCATCACTACCTATAGAAAAATAGCTCAGGCTGCAGACCATGCCTGTGATCAGTTGGTACCATCAGTGGATTAAAATTCCCCCTAGGTGATCTTCCTTAAAGAGGAATGGCATGTTAAAATCGACCTGTCATCTGAAGATGTTCTGATCCAAGTTATCTTTCCTTATCTACTCAAGTCCCAGCTTATATTCCCTGCAAATACGTTATGTTTCCATAGAGCTTTACAGTTTTTGAAACATTTACATATGCGATACTTCCTTTTAATTTCACTAGATAGAACCTGTTCAGGTAACCTTGGCATAGTGGGAAGAGGACAAAGAGAACAATGCAGGCTCTGAGCCTGAGTCTACCATTTAATTTGTGTTGTGAGCTTGGGCAAATAGTTTGATCTTCCTAATCCTCAATTTATCCATCTATAAAGTTTAGATAATAACCATATCACAGGGTAAGCTGTGAGAATAAATCATATAAAATGGGTATCAGACCTTGTTAATGTAGAGCATTATACAAAGCCCTAATATTATCTGTAATAGAATGTTTGAGTAGTAAAGAAGGTCTACACTGTTGAGTTGTGAACTAGGGATTGTATCACGATGTATGATACAGTCTAGATTTAGTGTTGAATAAGTCATTTTCTAAAGAAATATTGCATCTCGGTGTAGTTATGGGAGTTTTATCAGATCTACCCTCCAGAGTAGTAGTTCTCAAAAGTTTGCTTTGTGGTTCACCTCTATCAGAATCACCTACCTGGTTGTTAAGATTGTAGATTTTGAGGTCCCGTTTAGCTCAGATCTGCTGGATTAGAATTTCTGGATGTGGGGCTCAGTAAATCTACATTTTAAACAGATGTATTTGTTGTTTCATATAAAAAGTTCAAGAACCAGGTTTTCTATTTGATATTTTTCTTGATTTGTTAATCTGCAACACTAAGATTAGAAATAAAAGCAATAGTCTAGAAATCCTACGTTTTAATTTAGTACTATTGAAATGTAATGATGGTATTATTTATTTTCATAATTATACAATTCATCATAAAATTAATATGCAATTTGACAATATTTTTACCTGTTTTTAGGTTCCATCTCAAGATGATTCTAAACCTACCCAAAGGCAGTTTAAGATTCTGACCTTTAATGATTTAATAGCATCTGCTGTTCCTATGACACCTGAAGATCCTTCATTTTGGGACTGTTTCTGCTTCACAGAAGAAATTCCAATACGAAATGGTACAAAGTCATGATATGATTCCCTAAGTAACAAAGAAAAGTGAAAACTTTGTAATTTTCTGTATTCACTGAAAAATAAATACCTAATGATAATCAAATTTTGTTTCACAAAACAGTTAAAAAAACTTTTTCCTAATAAAAAACCAGACTTCCAGTTCAGGATCACTCACTAGAACACGTTTACCTCTTCTTTCTCCCCCAAGTCACGTTGAATTGACAGAAATAGTAGAGAAGGGTGACAGAATCTTAAATACATACTATTTAAAAAAAATAGAAAATGCAGGTATGCAAAATGGAAACATTTTAGATCCTACCTTTGAGAGACAACTACTCTTATGACCTTGTATATCCTTTTAGGCCTTTTTCTTGGCAAATGAATTCTCTCAAACAGTTATTTTTAAAAAAGGGGAGCATACTGTGTTGTTTTTTTTTGTTTTTGTTTTTAACTTAACTGTGCATCTACTGTTCATACATATCGAATATGCTTCTGTGGCATAACTTCTTTTAGTGGCTGTAAAGTACTGTGTTGAATGGCTGTAACAGTTACGATGCTTTTGGTTGGAGGTAACGATGTCCAAATGTAATTGGCTTAAACAACCAAGGACATTTATTATCTCACATGAAACAGCTCGGAAGTGTCATTAAGGATAGTTTTTTTGGCTCTGCCATCCTCAGTTTGTTGGTTTTGCTTTAGGCCTGTCCCCCTCGTGGTCACAGAGGCGGCTCCTGTAACTTCCAACTTCACATCCTAATGAAATCACATCCAAAAGGCAGGAAGGACATTTCTTCTCTCACATCTCAGTTTTATCAGTGAGGAAGATTTCACCTAAGCCCTCAGAAGATTTCCCCCTCAGTTTCCCTTGACTGAGAAAACCAATATCTAACGTTATTAGTCTCTGTGTGGGAAGTGGACTCTGCTGGTCAGAAGAAGTGGACTCTGCAGGGGTGGGAGAATGGCATTGAGGGGAAGCCCCACTGCCTGGCGTAAGGAAGGTGTGCCATAATTTACTCACTCTTTCCTCCCATGTTAGACATTTTGATTGTCTACGGTTTATTACTATGAGCAGTGGCGCAATGAATATCTTTGTAACCAAATTTGAGGTACATGCTTAATTATTTCCTTAAAATTTCTAGAAGTGGAATAGCTGGTTCAAAGGACTAAAACATTTCTAGAACTGTGATAAACTATTGCCAATTACTCTCCTCAAAGGCTGTACAATTTACACTTCCAGTTAGAAGTATATGAGTGCCCACCCCCACCTACCCACTCCCTGGTTAATGTAAGTATTATCTTTTTATCTTTTTTTGTATTTAATCTGCCAATATAAGTGAAAAAATGGTATCTTATTTAATTTGTATTTCTTTATTAATGATGTTAATATTTCAGTGTTGTTATTGGTTGTTTGTATTCCTTTTTTATGAGCTGCCTGATCATAGTCTGCCTATTTTTATTTTCACAAATAGGACTTAATTTAAAATTGGTGCATAATGTGTAAGATGTCAGGACCATCATATTGATGACAGAATCTATTGTATGGTTGTAATGCATGTCTTGGGGAGTTAAAGTCTTATTGTTAAATACCAAGAAGTAAAATAATTTCATTGTTTCTATTACTAAAATTAAAAATTGTGTGTAGGTTGTATAAAAGTAAACACCTTGCTTAGTAAAAAAGAGAATTAGAATGTTTTATAGTTTTTATTATTAAGCATGTCCAAATATTCTAGGCATAGTAAATATGTTTTTAAAAAAAAAAAAAAAAAAAAACAAGTTGCATCTCTAATAAAGGAAGTATTGTTATCCCTAGCATGAATGTAACGGTGATATGAAAAACCATTTGTCTTGTCATTATAATAATAAAACTACTAACACTTATTATGGAATTTTTATGAACTAGACACTGCATTGTGCGCTAGATTTTGTTTTGGTTTTTCAATGATTTTTGCTTTTTAATCAAAGTTACACATGCACAAAATTTAAAGAGTCATATAGATCTATAAAATTTTTTGTTTTTTCTAAGTGAAAATTATCACTTCTTTCATCTCATCTATTTCCTGTCCGCAGGAAAAGCACTTTCAACTCTTTTAGCTGATAGTTTTGTTATTACCATAGCTCTAAATAACTTGCTCATATTGCTTTTGCCTGTCTCTAATTTTAGGCATTATTTCTTGGACTCCTGCTATGAAAGCAAAGAACTTAGCTGTTCTCCTCCTTCCCAACCATTATGCATTCCCTTCTTGCCCCACTTCTCCCAACATTATATTGTATTTCAATGTTTAATTACGTTAAGAATATATTTTCATTATTAAGATAATGTAATACTGTTCACAACTGAATGATTTTTGTCTTTGTTGTTTTCTTGAGTTAATAATTGACTTGTTTGCCTAGTTTTCTATGTACTTACTGCCAATTCGGTCACAGACTCTGCCAGATGTGTGACCATCTTCTCCATATGTTCAGACATACAAGCTATTCTATCATTTTCATCCATCTTCTTGAAGAAATCACTCCTGGAGCAGTCTGCATTGTCCAGTGGGGACTTCCTGCCGTCTGTGGCTGGTGCACAGCTGTCATCCTAGAATGTCCTTTCACCGTCATTCTGGAGATCACTTGCCCCTCTCCTGTGCTGAAGTTCCTGTTTCCTGTGTCTGATGTCTTAGATTTACTGTTTCATTTTTGTGGAGCATAATCTTTACTAGCTTACTGAGAAAAAAGGGGGCATGTAAGATATATTTTTTAAGACCTTATTTGAGGAAGGATAATACCCTTATGCAGAGTGAAATGGGGGATCTAGCTGATTCTTAAGTAGATTACCTCATTACCCTCCACCTGCAAGCTCACTCTTTTGATTCTACTTTTATGCTTGCTTTTTCTGAGGTATTTGGTACTGTCAATTGCTGAGTCCTGTGCGGGGGTGAATCTTAGTGTAGTTTTTTTCAGCTACTTTGGGATCCAGCTTTTTCAGGTCAGCGTAGTCAGTTACCATTAATCCATTTACTTTTTAGTTTCTAAATTCTTGTGGCTTTTGTCTCCTCTTCCATTCTCTTTGTCGTTGAAGGTTTATGCTTGTAAAAATGGCTTAGAGGTGGTATCTGACCTCCTCCAGCCCCACGAACGGTAAGGAGAACCAAGCTAAACAGCAAAAGGCTGACTCCCATGAGGTGGAGGCCAGACAAGCCTCCTCTCTTCCATCTTTACTAATTTTGACGCCAACTGTCCCTCACAGAGCATTCTATACTTCTCTGCTGGGTTCGATAATTCATTGCAGTGGCCACACAGAACTTACAGACCATACCCATGATTATGGGTTAATTAGGGAAGTAACAGTTACACTTCAGGCTCAGGAACACTCAGGATACAGTTCTTTTGTCAGGACAGCCTCTTCCCAGCTTTGCTCACAGGCATGCCTCTCCCTGGCTCTAGGCCTCTTCACAGAGGCACTCAACTTTCTCTCTCTGTGGGCTGGGAAACCCACTGGGCCGTCTCCTCCTGCTGGGTCTCTGCTGCCGAGTCTCTGCTGCTTCCAGGAGCTTCTCAGCTCAAGGATCTCGGGTCCAAAGGACGTGCTTTCTGCTCCTGGCTGTTCTTTCTTGGTAGTGGTAGGCTCCTCCTCTCTGCTCTGGAATTGGCTCTTTCTTAAGGCAAAACTGACCTATCCCCATGGTGGGCCATAATTACCCTATCACACCGTCCTGCCCAGTCACGTGAGTGGGAGTTACAAGACCGTGGCTAGAAAGGCCATACAAAAGTAATCAATTGCAATGCTATAAGAAAAAGTTATTACTATTTTAGTCAAGTGTGATGAAGTAAATTTGTATGCTAAAGGCCACCTTGTTCTCTGAAAGCTCTGCTGGATTTTTTTACACAGACTTATTGTCACAACAATTCTGAATGTGTTTTATTTTTTCTTCATTTTTAAGATGAACAAACTAATATGTAGGGTACTACAGCTGGGATTCAACCATCTGTTTCTCATTTAGGAAGTCTTAGACCCTTTTCCACCTATTGATCAACCACTCTTCTTGGTATGGGATTAAGGGTTTCCATCTCTATTTCTGTTTACTTAGAAATAACATTGTAAAATCAGTATTATAAATTCTTTTAAATAACTTTACCTCCTAATTGATTTAATAAATGAGGAATTATATCTTTCCTTGAAATGTTGAAAAAAAAATTATTGTAAAAGCAGTACAGGTAAGTGGAATGCAAACTTGCCCACATTTTAAGACAAATAAGGGGTGGGGCTTCAGAGGAATTATCCTGCCGGGCAGTGTAAATTCACTGTTCTTTTAGGGTCATTTTTCAGTGGAAAAATTGGGAAGGCAACATCACTAAGAGGAGAAAAACTAGCATTATTGAGTACTTCAGCAAAAATAGAGCCTAATACTTGGTATAATTCACACCTTTGCAGGTCATCAGTAGCAGGGTTCAAGAGAATGCCACGTGCTAGATTTAAAGCTATTTTTTTGGTGGCTTAGAAACCTTCAGGAGTAGACAAGTGGAATCCTAGAACTTTGGTGCTCCTGACGATACCTTGGCTATGTTTTTTGTTGATAGCGGGCACCCTTTAAACCTCTCTCTATGCTCTTTCCAGTATTGCTTGAGCAGGAAGCCTGGTGAACTGGTTATTCTTTTCTCCTGCAAATCCACTTACATCCTTCGTTCTACTTATTACCCCAGGAAGCTGACCTACTTCCTGGCAAATAGTTTTAGACTCCAGTATACCTCAAACAGAGAAGTACACAATCTGGCCCAGGAGGCAGTGCCTCCACAGAAGAGTTTCAGGATACTGTCACTTTGCATTGGTTTGAGTCTGAGGAACAAGTATGGAGTAGATTCTAAGGGTAACAGGCCAAAAAGGATGACATGAGATAGGTCTGATATATTGATATGGGGATACTCACATAGAAAAGGGGATTTACTTTGTTGGCTTGAGAACCTGGGAGTGGTGCTAACAGCCTTTTAGGTTTGTTCATTGAAACCTGGACTCGGCCTATAGTCAACTTGGTTTCCTTATAGCATGCAGATCTATTTTGTACATACCGGCTCAGTCCTTTCGGGGTGGGCTTAGAGGACAGTCCCTTCACCAAGGTATTTTTTAAAAAATGCATTAGTTAATGATTACCAACACCATTAAAAGCTGTGGTCAGAGATGATTGGGAGATACTGCACTGGATTTAGGTTCCTTGTTTTCAGTGGGAATAATGGGATCCCAGAATAGTTGAGACAGTGTGATGGTGCTAGAGTAGTAATCAGATGGTTTGGTGCCACAGGGATTTTTTGGAGATGGTTAATTGATTACAGGATCACTAGGAGTGAAATAGATGGGCAGCCTAAGTTCTGTTTGATGCTTTAGCTGAAAAACTTACATCTGGTGGGCAGACACCTCACTGAAATCACTGTAATGATGATTCACTCCCTTTTTTAGACCTAAGCCATTTCATAGACTTTGGACCCTTAATTGAAGGGGTAGCTGGGTCCCTTTGACAAAGAATCCTACAGTGTGATGACAAGTGTATTTGATGGCTCTTTCCCCAGTCCTTTCCAGGGGAACCTGCATCTGTTTACTATGGTGACTGTTTATTGGGGAAAGAGAAATACTCAGAATTTCTGAGGCTATTAGATACTCGTTCAGAATTGATGCTAATGCATATGTAAATACCAAAGCCAGTAGTAGTGTACTTTTCGTTTGTAACCCTCCTTTTTTCTGTATATGATTTAAAAGGCAAATGCATAAAGCAATAATTATAAATCTATATTAATGGGTACATAATGTATAAAGGTGTGATCTGTGACAACTGTAAAGGGGCAGGGACAAAGACGTATAGGAGCAAAGTGTTTGTATACTATTGAAACTTAGCTGGTATTATTTAACTAGGTTGTCATAAGTTTAAGATAGGAATTTTAAACTCCAAAGTTACCAAATGGTTACTAAGAAAATACCAAAACATATACAGAAAAGGAAAGAAGGAAATCAAAATGGTAATCTACAAAACACAAAACAGAACAAAAACCTAAAAACCAAGTCCCAAAAAAGACGGTAATGGGAAATTGAGGACCAAAAACATAAGACATGCAGAAAACAAATATGAAAATAGCAGAAGTAAGTCCTTTTTTATCAGTAGTTAAATATAAATGTATTAAACTCCAATTAAAAGACAGATATGCTTTCTATAAGTGACTCACTTTGTATACAAAGTAAAAAGGTTTGAAAGGAAGATAAAAGATACTCCATGCAAATAGTAACCAGGAGAGAGCTAAGGTGGCTACGTTATGATCAGACAATAGATTTTAAGTCAAACGTTACAAGAGAAAGAAGGCCATGATACAGTGATAAAAGGGTCAGTTCATCAAGGAATATCACAGAAACAGGCACCTAACAACAGAGCCCCAAAATAAATGAAGCAAACATTGACAGAATTGAAGGGAGAAAGACATTTTTACAGCAATAACTGCAAAATTCAGTATCCTGTCTTTAATAATGGTTAGAAGAATTAGACAAAAGATCAGTAAGAAAACGGGCTTGTGTTACACTATAAACCAATTAGACCTAACATACCATATTTTTTTCGCAAGTAATGTGCCTATGTAAATAACGCGCTCACACACATACAATGCGCACAGTGCACCTAGGAATATAATGTGCAAAGGGCTTGCACTGTTGGTAAAAAATGTATAACTCACATGGTATTTGTGTAAAAATGCAGTATATGGAAAACTTCACTCAAAAAATACTCTTCTCAAGTGCACATATAGTATTCTCCAGG